AGGATGTGCTTGTTAGATGTTGTGGACATTATAAGCCATCGTTTTTTGCGACATGAATCCACCTTAAAGGATTCGCCTGACAAACCGAGAAAACCGAGAAACTTTGAAAGCAAAGGTCAACAAAACCAATCTCGGCCTGAACATGCTTGAACATGGTCTTCGCGGCTTTCGCGTTCTCGCATTTTCGCCGTTTTCACGCAGACCCATGAGACGTTAAGAACAAACCTATTGAAGATCACCGGATCTCTCAAACACTTTTCGTGAAAGCAAAGAGCGAATCGGTGTTGACCTGGGGATCCTGGACACCCTCGCTTTTCTTTGATTCTTATTGTTACTATAGTAGTAAGGCACTTGTTACTAGTAGCGATGCACTTGTTACTACTAGCGTGGCACTTGTTACTAGTAGCTTCTGGTGGATTCGAAGGTTTGGAATTAGTAACTAATAACAATGACCAAACATTTCCCTGTGGGTAAAACCGCATTTTCCCCTCCATGTCACCGACTTAGTATTATGTAGGTTGACAATGACCAATAATAGAGGATTCTGATCGACTAGGGCTGCCTATCAACCAGGGCAGTCTGGGCAGAGTGGCACAGAGCAAGTTGGCCTCTGTGTTTGGGGTGAAATTGCGAGTGTGAACTGCCGCCCGCTTTTTGACACAATCATGCTGGTAAGGTGGTTCTGCTTCCCCTGCAAATTGTTCTTGGGTGGAGGGTACCGGCCAAAAGATTTACCTCGACTCAATTTGAAGTCGGGTTTCGACATGGTTTTTGCCACTCAGATCAGAAGATTGCTTCAGATGTACAGCAACATCGCAGCTTGGCCATGGGAAGGGTTGCGTGTTGACCAAGGTCTGCAAGCGTTTGTAGGTGGCAGCCATCTCCTATCACAAGTTCCAAACGTTCGAAGGGAACATGCAGAGAACTGGGAGAACGGTGGATCGGATCCACGGTTTTGGGTTGGATGGGAGGTAGCTTGAACCATGGGTGGAGGGAATTTTGCTCACACCGTGTTTTGGGGAGATCGACACGGAGCAGGCCTTGATGACGGAAAGCGCTTTGAGCGCTGGAAACTAGCTTTTTGTTTTTGTTGGCAGTGTCAAGTAGTGGTTTTTGGAGGTGTTGCTGTGTATCGGGCTCATTTTTTGGAGCGTATGGAAACAGTTTTTTTTTTTTTAAAGAGGTCTTTAGTGTCAGTCTTGCACACTGGGAAGGGAAGGCATTAAGCCTTTTGGTGGACAGACAATATAGAACAAGGTTTTTTGGAAGCTTTGGAAGCTAAAACACCGTACATTACAAGGAACACACTGCTTCTTTTGTTTTGAGGTATATTTGGTGTCAAGGGTCGCTTATTTATCCACGTTCACATCAGTGGCTGCGTCCGCGCTTTCCGTAGTTGTTCCAAGCTCGTTTGCAGGTTTCATCGACACTGAGTGACTAGCTGAGCATATATGCTACTTTTTGTCTTCAAACAAGACCTGTGGCATCCCAGATGTTTAAGTCCAGATAGACCTTGTCCCTCAGTGGTACCAGCCACGAGAGGCATAACTGGACCATGTCCAATCCCCTGTCCACGACACCCAAGCTGTGCAATGTCTTGAGGCGGAAGATGTTCACACCAACGAGCCCACTCTGAATATCGACAACATGAGCCGGAGACAGCGCCAAGGCTTGAAGGACATATTGGAGCATATGGTGGAAGAGACACGCTCAGAAAGGGCTCGCGCCGAAAGGGAACGCGAAGAAGAAGAAGCTGAGGTATCAGGCCGTGAGCAAGTGGGTGATCGTTGCTTTTTTTTTTGTTGTTGTTGTGGGGGTGTTCAAGGTGGGTGTGGAGAGTCAGGCCGGACATGGGCACGCTGCATTTCTGATCTAGTTGAAGGTTTTGTACACAATGTGGTGAAGTGTTCACAAGCCTGTCAGGAACAGCAGGAACAGCTGCTGATGAACAAGCGGAAGACGCTCCAAATCAGCAAGCTTCAAGCGCTTCAACCACCGAGCCAGCGCGGGAGCCTTTGCCACATCCGCCAGAGGACGAGCTCTATCGGAATGAAGAAGAACTAAAGAATTTCCTCGATGAATGCGAGGAATGGATCCGAGAGTGGTGAAGTTAGAAGTCTTGGCTCCAAATAGGGAGGCCCCATATCCATACTGTTACCACAAGGTCGGCCAAACAAACCAAGGATTCACATCGAGGACTTGGATTCCGACAAGTCAGCTATAGAAAAGCCATGGGCTTTCAAATTAGGCTAATTTGTTTTTTTTTGGGATCAATGTGGGGACTCCATTCAAAATGGATTGCTGATCAGCTGGACTGCTGATCAGCATGTCCGGGCGTTTCACCAAAAGGGAGCTACAGTGCTGCCGCTCCTCCTGTAGCATGGAAAAAGCGGAATTGCGGCTGGCGGAGAACATTATGAATCTGTGAGATGCTTTGGGGGAGCTCATGCAGTTGGTAGCTCCACAACACGTCTACCACACTTGCCTGCAGGTCCATAACGTGTGAGAAACCCTCCTTGTTTGGAAGTCCAGTTGCTGCAAACCATCCCCAGGAGCAGCCGCGTTCGCAGGGCCCTCAGCACGGGTACTGTAGAAGCTGACACGCCAAGTGACTTTGCGTCGCGATATGATGCAAGAGAGAGTTCACAAAGGGGTGGCGTTGGACCCCAATGATGGCCTTCAGAACAACCCCCCAAAAAACAGCTTCCAATACTTCCAATCCCCTGATCATCCACGATTGTCCACGATGAGACTCCAGTCATTGGGCCACTTTCTCGACGGGGAAACGGACTGCAACGTGACTCAGGGGCCTTGCGCTACAAGTTCGCCGCACGGCGGCCACATGCCACGTGAGGGTTCTTAGCTTCACAGGTTTGTAGTCGAATGGACCTAAAGAAGCGTTGACCACCAGATAATTGTAGGTATGGCTATGATGGCTCAAGAATTCTAAATAATGTATATAAATATATTTATAAATATATATATATATATTAATATGTGTGTTTCTTTTTGTTTCAGGTCTTGTGCACTGGCCGGACACCATTGAGTTAGGTGGATTGAATTGGAGTGACGTCAGAATGCTGAAAGACTGTTCTGAGTGGCAAATCATGTGGTCTTCCCAGGTGCACCCGCAAAGCCTCTGGAAACATCCGAAAAGCGCGCTGTCCAGGATGGGCGGCCAGCTCTGTAGCGCCACCCCTGAGGGTGTGACCTTGGCGGAGCCAGGGCCTCGGAAGGTCTGAGGTCAGGACAAGAAGCCTCACGATGTCTCCCAGAAAAGTGTTGTAGTAACAAGAAGCTATTAGTAACAAGTGCATCGCTTCTAGTAACA